AGGTTCTTTGAATATTTCTCTAAGCAATGGTTGGTTTTGAATTAAATGCCATTTGCTCATCAAGATGTTTTTGAGGTTAGGCAACGCCGGGTGGTATGTTGTTACAAAAGGCAGAATTTTCTTTCGCACTTTAACGGTTTGTTGTAAAGCCGACTTCCGTTCAGAATTCGCTGTCAAACCGATTGATCTTGCTTCTGCTATCTGGTCTTCCATTAAGCTTCGAAGAGGACAGATAACTAAAATTCAGGCAGAGTCTTCTGACTCTTTGACACGAACGAAGAATTGAAATATGGCACTTTTGCCAAAACCAGTTGGTAAAACCGCCAGAACATCTTTTCCGTTGAAGAGCCTCTTAACGGCAGCCACTTGCTCTGGTTTTAGATTAATTGATTTCCCGCTCGGCGAGAAAACTTAAGCAGTTTCCTGAAGAGCAAATTCGAAAGAATTATCTTCGACTACGGCCATATTTGATCTGATCTGAGCTCTGCAATATTGTCGTGATCGATCTATTGCACTGGATCTATTGACAAGCTGTTGACATTGATCGTTTTGATTGACGCGCGATTGACCAATCGTTATTCCTAATCGCCTCCCGTTCGTGGACGAACGGCGTTCGGTAAAATGTATGGGCTCAGCAGCAGGCTTTTCCTTTCCTCCCCACCCCTTCACCCCTGTTTCTAACTTTTTGCTCTCGCCCCATGCGTTCGCGCGACTTCCCCTTGGCTCTCGCTTTCTCCCGTTTAGAGGAAACGGAAAAGACTGCTACACAGGCTAACCGAGTTCGAGGGCCGTTTGAGAAGACGAAGTTAGTAAGATGTTTATTATGTCTCTACTGTGTGTCTGACGGGTTCGGGAACGATTTCTATTCACGCGGAACGGCTTCAAATTTTTGACGCACATCGAAAGCAAAACGAGTCAATTTGAAATCGTTGTTAAGTGACTCTTTAGTCGTTGGCACGGTTTAATACACAATTTCAAAAGTAAAATAAAGCTTTAAACTTGCTTGACAACTCAAGAACACTTAGCGATTAATCACGAAACATTTTGGCAACAAAAGCAGTTTTAAATTTAGCGGGCCGTACTGTACAATACGGCCCGCTAAATTGACCAACCACAGCGCGCGCACTATAACTGAGAGACACGGTAAAGCGTCATATTTTCGTTTCCTCTATCATTGAAACAAACAAAAAAGAAAATCACAGAGAGCAGACAATGCATACTAGGCTTGTATGGAAGTCCTTCGCAATATAATTTTTCTCTTCTGTGTTGCTTTCGGCGACTCAGACTAAATACTTCTTATGATATTTCGCCGTGACTAAGCATTGACGGTCAACTGATAGCAAATCTGAAAAAAGAAAATAATTTCAATTTGCTGACTTTGGCTGCATATTTACAGATCCAAATATCAGGTTAGAATCATTTTGAGACTGCCAGAATCTTCTTTAAAAGGTAAAAGGAGAGTTGTTTTATGTTTGCTGGTCGGGCGATTAATTGTAAATGTTTAATATGTTCAATCTAAACAAAATAAAATGGATTTCTTTGCCAATAACATACTACTCCATTATTGCAGTTGTGTAAACTATTTTATTAAATCTAATTAACCGTCAATGGGGAATCCTTCGTTCGAAGTTGCGAGGGTGAAATTTGTTGCGCAATAAACGTTTTCCTCAGTTTGTCTTTTCAACAATTTTCAAGTGGTTGAAATAAGAAATAAATCAGTGGATGAAACTGTTAGTGATATGGTATAATACAATATTTTGCTTTTTTCTGCCTTTGATTCATGGTGAAAAGTCGTCAGTTGCGTGAATAATTAATACAGTTTAAACAAAATGTTTGGATTGTACAGAGTGGGTCACAATAGCGCCATGAATTCCAGTAATTGTGTTGATTAAACCATAAAACGTGTGATATTTATTATTTATTACCGTTATTGTGGCTTGGTGATCGATTAGCACAGCTGTACGAATGCTTTCAACGTACCGTCGATTCAAAGTAATGGAAGTCTTTTGGTAAGTATTAGATTCAATTCTTTAATACTTGTCACTTTGAAGCGATTCTTCAGTCCATGTTTCGTTTTACAAGATAGGAAGAGTTTAAGGTCTTAGCAAAACAGATACAAATGGGAATTGAAAATTCATTTTTGGATCATCAACGTCATAGATCAGTTAACCAGTTTTATCTTTGCTGAATCGAGGAAAGCAACTTTCCATTTTTGTTTCCATGGAAAGAAAAACATATCAACTTTCTCCTTACCATCGATAAAAGCGTTTTTTACGAGTTGGATTGATAAAGAAGTTAAACTTTGAAAGTTTTGTTATTAACTTGGAACGTTAAGTAATAAAAAAAGCATTAACTGGTTAAAATTGATTCGTGAATTTCTGTATGTTTTGTACTGTTCCAGAGGTCTATAGAAACCGCTGTTATTCACAGTGAATATCTTTTTTCATCTCTTCTTTTTCATGGCTGTCAGGGTTAAATATCTGTTGTTTCTCGTAGGTTTATCTGAAAGAGTAGTTACCGTACAACTGTCATGATGTTTCCAGAGTGTCGGCACGTTCGATGGGAACGAAAAACATGCCAGTGGACCGTGCTTCTTGCTGTTTTGTTCGTGGTAAGAGGCATAAATCTCGTTGTAAGGACTAAGTTGGGGTTTGTAATCTCATAAGAAATACGTCGATTTGTTATTTTAATAACGAAATGCTGAATATGGCAAACGGCGAACCCCGTCCCATTACTGCAATCAAACGTGCCAATTCTAAGTGTGTCTCTCTCCACGAATAGTTTTCAAATTTAAAGCTTTCAGTTTCCATTGAAGTTTTCTCCCCTTAACTGACTTTACAGGTATGAATAATGTATAATTATTTACTCAACCTTGAGGTAGATTCCCTTGGCTGTAAATCTGATTATTTCCACCTTTGAGGCAGTTGATGGCAATGCATTTGTTCGGTTTCCTGATTTCAGCTTTGCGAAAATGGAATGACTATTCAATTCCAAGGTGAGTGTTCTACCTTGCTTGCAATTGATAAATCTGAAAATATTCAATTAATTAATAATACCTTACAATACCCAAATAGATGGTTATGCAAACTTAGCTCAGTGTCGTGTATGTCATTACATGCACTGACATGAATTAAAGTTTTTATCGTCACCAAAACGGAATGTCTTGATTTATCGTCACCAAAACGGGATGCTTTGATTTATTATCGTGGTAAGTTTTCGTTAACTGCAAGTCCAGTTCTGGGCAATGTTTATTGGAAGCTGTTTGATGCTTTTTTCCAGATTGAAATTAAAGTTAACTTAGCTCTGCGTTTTCTACTCTTGTTTTTGTTTACATGTAAACGCGTTGTCATTTTCCTGCTATTTGAAAGGATTTGCCCTGATAAAACGGTTTTAGGTGGCTCCATAGGGTAATCATTTATGGCGTTGCGCGCGCAAGTGTTATGTTTTGAATGCTGTTTTTGCATTCGCTTTCACACCCAGTCCTTTCAAACTTATTACATGTAATAACGAATGATTAAATAGTGTTTTGCTTTCATCTCTGTTAAAATTTTGGGCTTTAGTCTTGAATTATAAATGCCCAAACAAATGTGTTTTTTACTGTTTGTATGGCTTTACTTGTGATTTTCTTGAATTTTCTTCGGTGAAATCTTCCAAAATTTTTACAACACATCGCTTCTAGCGTGCGATCGTAAAACTAAAGGGAGCTACCTTAAACAGACAGAACTGATTTGGCATTATTATACGATCATATTGATTTTCAAACAAGTTAAGCCTTCCAGTTTGTCGTTATTGTTAGGTCATGGAAATAATGCTAATAATAATTTTAAGGTGGGGGTTAGGGTGGGGGGTGGGGGAGAGACTACTCACTTGCGATGTAAAGGCCAGTCCTCATTTACTTGCCAAGCATAAGCATTAAGCCTAAGCATGAAAGAAGCTTTTGTGCTAGTGGGGACGGCAGCCACTTTAAAAGCATAAGCATAACCATAAGAATATCTCGCTGTTATGTCCATAAGGGACATGATTTGCATAAGCATAAGTACAAGTATAAGTGAAAGACTTTCAGCCAGTCAGCGAGCACTTATTCCAACCATGTCCTCACTGGACATAACAGCGACACAAGCGTAAGCGTAAACATAAGCATTAGAAGAAGGCTAGCTTATGTTTATGCTCATGTCGCAGCAATCTCCACCAACGCATATTAAAGTTTCTTATGCTTATGCTTATGCTTGCGTCGTAATTGAGGACCGGGCTTTGTAACAAGTTCCTATAATAAGCGTATCGGCTTTTATCATTTGGGCTCTTCTGGTACAACGTACTTATGCGTGTGCTAAACCTGGCTCTCATCTGAAAAATTTGTCAAAAAATCTTGACCATTCATTTGTCTTTCACGAAAAAAAGCTAATCAAGTTGAAAATTGAGCGAGAGCTCGCCAATGGGCATGCTCAGTTGAGTACATATATGTGATATACATTACAACAAAATGAAATTTAATTCAACTTAAAGGAAGCCATTGATCTGCGCTAACACTAAGTGCGTTTCTGATTGGTCCCTAGGACTTTTTCTTGTTTTTGATTGGCTATTTTAACTCTTGACAAGTGGGAGCGATACCGTCCACTGTAACTTGTACTGTTCTGACTTCTAACTGTAAGCTATTCGCTTCCACCCAATCTGTGAAGTTAATATGTTTGCCTTTTTTACATTTAGATCAGTGCAGTTCTCCATTGGGAATGGAAAACTTTAAAATCCCGTCAGAAGCTCTGCGTGCCTCCAGATCAACAGCGTACTGGGAGCCCTACAACGGCAGAATTAACGACAGTGTAAGTGGCTGGTGCGCAAACTTAATCAGCGATAAAGAATGGTTTCAGATCAAGTTCGACACCGATCATTACGTCACAGCTGTGGCGAATCAAGCGACCAGTAGAGGGTGGGTGTTGGAATTCACACTGGCTTACAGCCGGGGACTTGGATGGTTTGAATACATGGAAAACGGGACGATTAAGGTACAATGTTATTCTTTGTTAAAGCCATCCTTTACTCACCCAATGGTCGTCGTTTTGTTGGCAAAGACATAATTACGGGACAGTTTGTGGAAGACAAGGGGAGGAGTTTGACGAAACCCTCCCTTGTCAATGAGTTCAATGAGAAGTTGATTATGCTTGTTCTGATCTATGTACATAAACTTTTCTTGATAGATATTTCATCGTAACAACTCAGATTACAGCAGCGAGATTGTGGTTAGCAATCTTTCATTTCCAGTAAGAGCGAAAATGTTTCGAATTTATCCCAAGCGAGCTATCCGTGATACTTGTTTACGACTTGAACTCTACGGCTGTCAAGGTGAGTCAAAAAAAACCGAGCGAGCAAACAAGCAAACAAAGAAACAAACAGATAAACAAAAATAAACAAAAAAGAAACATAAGCCAACCAACACTGAAATCAAAAAGAAACACAAACTATTTTTTTAGTTTACGCTTTAATTGTTTAGCTTTTAAAAGGTATTTTGGAAAGCCACTACCCCGCAGCACGTTAATCCTTTTGTAAAATATCTTTTCTTTGAACTGGCTGCTTGGTGCTTTTAACTCTTACGCTATTTCTGGTAGCCATCAACCTATCATTTTTGTAGCGTTGACGCTTATCGTTGGTTATTGATATCAATGTGCAAATGAGATTTGTTTTGTTATAGCTTGTTTCGATCCATTTGGCATCAAAGATGGTATCATTCCTGACAAAGCTATGACGTCATCATCATTTTTTGGGCCTGGGTTCGAGCCCTTTCGCGGCCGGCTGAATGACATTTCAGGGAATGGTTCGTGGTGTGCAGATGCACGTGATGTAGAGTCATTCTTGCAGATTGATCTTGGGAATCGATTCCAAATCAGCATGATAGCCATCCAAGGAAATGAGCTTCACGAATTTGTGACTACTTGGGAGAAACAAGTCAATTGCAGGTATGTCTTTACCCCAAACGTAATTGAATTTACTAAAAACTGGATGATTGGATAATACAATTCAAGTGTTTTCATTGGCTTAACCATCATGGTATATGAGCCATTATACCACGCTCTCTAAATATGGTAAGCACGCGCGTAATTTTTTGGGGGCGTTTTTTTTTTTTTTAAAAAAAATTATTTCACTTGCCCTGGATATGAGATGATTATAGCCAACTCACATCCAACGCGCCCTTGTGGGGTAATTGTTTAAAGTTATCTCTCTGTAAGATAATTTAACTAGGATGAACGTGCGCTAGGGGCTCGTCCACTTGCAAAGTTATTATGTGAAGATACTAAAAATGTGAAAATTAGGGACCTTTAGATTGGACCACTATACGAATAGAGCTTTCGAATTTCAAACCAGTGACGTGATAATGTGGAGCCTGCGAACTAGAATTGAAAAGTCGTTCTTGTACTCGATCTCGTACTCGTAATCCTATTATCTGAGAGGACTAACTTTTCAGACCTCGAAAAATGTAATGGTTGCGAAAAGGAGTAATCTTTTTCTAAAATAGCTGGAACAGCCTTGGTGAGAAAAGCGTTATCAGATAGCCTATTCTTGTTGTAAAGGTGCATATATGATTTTGGAGCGAAAAGGTGGCGTCCGATTTTAAATAGTTCCCCACCTAGCTAGTTTTTATTTTCATGTCCTTTTGGAGATCACTCTTTATTAAGGGGATTCTTGGTTTAAATTCGTCATAACGTCCATTTCAAAGCTATGGTAGAGCGGCACACAGTGTATAGCCAGTCTTGCTTTACAGGGATATAGAAGATGCAAAATATATGACGTGACTATGTTAATTGCTCATACACAGTTCTCTGGCAAACGAAACTGTTTCACTAAATTCGTCCCAAGCTGGAAACATAACACTGGGTAACAACACAAGGGGGCAAAATTCATCTGTTGTGGCACAAAATGTCACCCTGGCTAGCAACTCTTCAGAGAAAATCATATTGGCGAACAATACAATGGGGCAAAATTCATCTGTTGAGGTACAAAATATCACGTTGGCTAACAACGCTTCTGGACAAAATTCTTCAGTTGAAGCCCAAAGCGTCACTATTGCTAACAACACTGGGACCATTGCTGTAAAAGCAACCGTGAAGAAATGTTTTGAAACTAAGACTCGTCTCGCGAAGGCCTATGTGAAAGAGTTCATTTTAGAGTACAGCGACAATGGCGATCTTTGGAGGCAGTATTATGAAGGAGGATATCTGAAGGTATTTGTGTATTCACGATGTTTAGAAACATTGCGTGAAGTATCTTAAAAGAAGTAAGAAAAAAAAAAAGAAAAAATTCTTACTCTTCGGGGATAATCCCACATGTATGCTTTACATATATATACAGTCACGGAATACTCAATAATGTACGGCTTTTGACATTTTCATTATTTAAATTCTAAGCTATAAGTGCTACTGTCGCTTCTTACATATTGTAAATGAATCTATATGCTTTTTACTCTTATCGTAGTTCATAAAGGGAATCGTTATGAAATCTGGCAAAGTTCTTTGTTTTGTGGTTTTGTTGGCTATTTTGGGGTTACCCTGGTCAAAACCCGGCAAAATACAAAAGGTGGTTATGTGTGCTCATACAACTAACCAATGGAAGCATTGCGATTATGTAATTCAGGCATAGTCTATGAGCATAAAGCAAACGATGTGCAGGGTCAAAGACCTGTCAACATAAATCTTAGACTCTTTGTTTGCTTCTTTGATGTTTACCGGGCATTTTAACCATTCCCTCTATTAACTATGCTCCTATGGGGCACAAGAAATCTGATTTCAGATTATCTTTGTAACAAGTGCTAAGGGAAACAATGCAATACGTTTGAATGTTCTTTCTGTGTGCAGGAATTTAAAGGCAACACTAAACCCAATACAACTGAATTTCGGAAAATATCCAACCAGCTGATTGCCCGGTATATTCGGATTCGACCTAAAAAGTGGAAAAGGGCAAACTGCCTGCGAGTGGAAATCTACGGATGCAAAGGTACAATACGCTTCTACCTTTCCTTGGGGGATTATCGATCACGAGATTTATCGACTCCACTCACCCAAACACCTAACTACCTTTTTGCAGATTGCTGTCTCATTGGAGACACTCGAAATTCCTCTTGCATCTTTTTCTGGTATTTCTTCTTCATTCAGTCAACCCAAATCGCAATCAATGTCTGACCTCTCACAAAATAATTAAAGCCAAATCAAGCATTTATGTTATAAGAATGTATAGGTGCGGATCAATAAGAGAAGATCATCTTGATATGACGTGAAAACAATGCAATCCTGACATGAAGCAAACTGATATTGGAATACAGTCTCGACTTATCCTATTAAAAAACTTAGTTATCGTTTGTAAAGAAGCAAAAACTGAGAATCAGACATATTTTTACAAGCACTCGTTTGATTCCTTTTAAACCTTCTCATTACGTCCTGCCTGGTACGATTATAAGTAGCATGAAGGGAGCCGAAATAACTCGGGAACACCTCACGTATCCATATTCCACATGAATTTTGAAAAGGGCATCCTCGCTCACACTCAGAACAATGAAAACTACTACCCAAATTTTCCGAGGGATTTACTTCTGGTAAAAAGACGAAAGTTTATTATTGTAAGGATAAGGGGAATGTTTAATTACCTTCGTTCAGGGAAATGTTTTGATTCAAGTAGATCTAGGCCTGTTTTGCGTTCGTCAACGTCGTCGTAAAACTAGGCTTCATGCGCTAAAGGAGAATGAAAAAGCTGAGTGTATCTGCTTGTGTAAAATTATAGCCATTAATGATTTTGCCAGGTATTTCTGCCAGAACACACTTTTGTACATTCTTCGTCCAGTTGAAAGTCGAACTCATGACGTTATGACTAGTGCTTGCATGTTAATCTACAAGTTACCAGAGGCTCGTGGTAGTCTGGCCATTGCCGGGTTCCGGAATAGGCTTTACTAATATTCTCACTTTCTTTTTCGTCCGTAGAATGTTCCAACGACCTTGGCGCTGGCACAGGCGAAATTCCTAACAAAGCCATGACAGCTTCTTCGCACTTGGGTCCAGGCTACCAACCTTGGCTTGCTCGTTTGTATAATCCGCATGGAGCCTGGTGCTCAGCAGCAAATGATGCGTTCCAATACCTACAGGTTCAGTTTCCACAGATTCGCAAGATTCGTCAGCTGCGCACGCAGGGATCTGTTACTCAAAAAGGATGGGTATCGAGCTTTTTTATAGAACACAGCCAAAATGGCGAGAAATGGAAGAATTACACAACGCTTGGAAAGCTAGAGGTTATGAAGACTTGAAATTATCATTCAATAGATCCAAATGTTACTTAACAATTAGAGTGCGAGTTCCACGCTTCTGTATAAAATTTAGAGAGCGACTGGCTGACTGAATTCGAGGTTTGGCTGATAGTTGGCAAGGGTCAAAGCCCCGAGAGCCAACATCGAAAGCGAGCCCCTTGTTAAGCACAACCGACTGTGCGATCTATTAACCAAAAAAAGTATATTTATTTTAGGAACCATACGAAAACGCGAAGTTGAAACCATTTTCAAAGACTGACCAGGTCCAAGTGTCGTCTATTGATCATTAGCCAATCAGATTGTGTGTTTACGTGTTTGTCGGTCACTGGGTTGTGCCAGTGGCTGATATTTTGCGGGACTTGAAGCCCAGATCAACAAGTCAGTAGGAACCCGAAACAGCAGTATTGAGACAGAAATTGGAACAGAATATCTAGTTATTGATATGTATTTAGTGAACTTGGTATCTACGAACAAACTCATTATATACGTACTCTCTTGAATCACTTATGAAGAAGACAAAGAGATATCGGTTATAGGGGAAACCAAAAAAAGTGTACTTAAGCAGAAGAGGGTAAAAATTAATCTCCGATCTTATCTTTTTTTTTCTCACAGATATTCGATGGCAACTTTAACGAGCATGAAGTCGCAACGAGGGCCTTTTTATTTCCTTTTGTTGCAAAGTTTGTCCGCATCCGGCCTGTAGGGTGGGAGAAGGCTATTTGCTTACGAATAGAGCTGTATGGTTGTCCAGGTAACTTTTTAGGAACTCTTACAGTAACTGACAGTAGGGTGTTATGATCAAGGCAAATGCAAATGATCCAATCGAGTGTATTTATTATAAACTGAGTTTATTTACTATGAACAAAACATTTTAGCGGTCATGCTGTTGCAACAGTGATCTAATATGCCACGAAAATGATAACAACGTATTCACTAATGATTGTGCGGTTTTTTGATTACATGATTATAGCATCAACCCATAAAGAGTAGTTATAATAACCCATCAAGAAAGTGCTAGAAACCTTTCTTGAGCCACCTTAAAAGCTTATGTTTTAGGAAACATTAGGCAGTAAAGGTAAATGAAATACATGGCTGAAGGTAATGACGAGGTAAAGAAGGACGAAATCTAGGAAGACAAGATGCATATTGTATGCGTGGGAGATGTAAACTCTGTGTGTATCCAACAATTACGCGTTTGCAGTCACAGCTGAAGGTTGTTTTAACCCTCTTCTTGAGTCTTAAATCGAGTGCTTTTCAAAAACCTGTCCTCGAACCACTCGATAAAACTAAGCCGCTAACAGACAAAATAAACAGTATGGCAGGGCTTACGGGGACACTATTTTTAGGACGCCAAACCTATTTTAATTTTGCGTCCGTAAAAAGGTCTGGAAACAAGCGGGTAAAACGTGTGCTACAATAAAACTGCGCTACATTTTCAGTCTACATGGCGATACGTTGCAGCGCATCACTGCTGAGGCGTAAAGCAATACTGTTACGTCACAAGAGGGGACATGGTGCAGTTAGGTATCCAAAGCTATGTTTGTGTGTTTGTTTTTGCCGTCATAGCATGTCAAGATCCTTTAGGAATGGAAGCTCACGAACTATGGGACGACGAAATAACTGCCAGCGATTGGAAAAGTGAATACAACGCGTACAAAGCTCGTCTTAATAACGGCGCTGGATGGTTGGTTTACACCGATTTTTCAATGGCTCATTTTATCCAAGTGACGCTAGGATCTGGTGACTTCACGCTAACTGGAGTCGCTACACAGGGAATATACGGCTACCTGGTCAAAATGTTTACTCTTTCATACAGTATGGACGGTATAGACTGGGTCGAGTATCGAGAGGATGGACAGGTCAAAGTACGTAGGTGTTTAGCTTTTAATGAAACTGTTCGCGGGCATGTGAAACATTCTATATCATTTTACCTTCTTTGATGTTTAACCAAAGGGCGTTTAGGAGGACGCAGCGTGGCCGAGTGGTTAGGGCGCCGGACTTGAAATCCGGAGGTCGTGGGTTCAAGTCCCGCTCTGACCATTTAGCTGGAGTTTTTTCTTGGTAGACCAGCGTTGAACTACTCGGTTATGCTTGTAAATAGCCAACTGGTCTGCCTCTGCTAGTTGGGATTTTTAAGCGTGTTATGTTTCGTTGAAACATTAATTTTGTTTCTTTCAGTTTAAGTGGCATGCCTGTGAACTAGCTTGGTGTGGCTAAGCGCATTGATCACTATAAACATCAACATTTAAACATTTTGAATTTGAACGTGGTCTGGTTATGAACAATGGAATTAAATTTCGCGACAAACGAAAGTTAAATCCCTCCCTAATCAGACTCACAAATTAACGATTTCTAGATTTTTAACCACTTAATGGTTTTCATGAATGGTTAATCACAGAGGTTTCTTCTTAGGCTCAAAAGTTTAACTCAAAATGTGATTCCGCGTATATGACTTTTCTGAGTTACGTTGTTATTCAACAGATATTTGAAGGAAACAATCCGTCAACAGAGACAGTACAGCATGAATTAGAAAAAGAGATCATCCCTGCCTACGTCAGGTTAAATGTAAAAAACTCCACGTATGGATATGCGGGCTTGAGGTTGGAGTTTTATGGATGCAAACGTGAGTAGCACTTGGGCACTACCAATTCTTTTGTAGGCATTTAAATTAGCCTCACTTACCTCGTTTGAGAGTAAAAATTATTTTGAATTATCAACTTAAACACTAGGTTACTAAGGCTAATTTTACTACTTACGAAATAATTTATAAATGGCAGCCATTTATTATCTATTCTGGCAGATGGAAAAGTGATCCATCTGTTGTTGTTATAATCCTCCTAGAATATACTTTTCAACCGTTTCCAGCAGAGGTTGGGATAAAAATGTTACCTTGAGTCATTTTAGAAGATGACTTGCTTGAAACCTTTTAGAAAACAAATTGTTTTCAGAGAGGTCGAGCGTTGGCCATTGAATGTATGAAGAGATGGATACTGATTCCTGAGAGAACGAAGGATATAATTGCCAGCTGCGACTATACATGATAAAAAAGATAATTGCTTTGAACTGGGAAAGACTTTCAATGAATAAGTTGCTGCTAGTGGTACTAAGAAATGCTGGGAAGGGAGGGAGAGGTGGGTGGCCATCGTGAAGGGTGTCTCACAATATTTCACTTGCTTTCCCAAAATATAAGCCTTTTAATGCGTGTGGGATAGAACCAAATTGAGATTTGAAGAACCAATCTTAGATGTTTGGTTGGCAGGTTTCGATGTCAGCGTTGAAAACGACGCTCTCAGACGCCCGACGTCTCAGTCTGGAAATCTAACGGATAATTCAGGCCTGGCTGTCGATGGCAACAGAGCATCTGACTACTCGCTCGGCTCATGTTCTTTCACAGGGGACACTGAGGTACCCTGGTGGTTAGTCGACTTGCGATCAACAAAAACCGTGACTGGCGTATTTGTAGCGAATCGTGGGGACGAAAACTATCGAAATGTCACAGAACTGTCAATTAGAATCGGCTTCACCAGTGTCAACGGAGGAATTGGAAACCCAACTTGTGGAGGGCTGTCGCATGTTTTCCATCAAGGGGCGGCTAGAATGGTTCCTTGTGTACCGGAAGTAGAGGGGAGATTTGTAACCATATTTGTGCTGAAAGTCAATTCATCGCTAAGCTTATGCGAGGTGGAAGTTGAAGTCAGCGATATAGGTAGGATGGCACATCTCAGCAAGAGAGGATGAAGAGTGTATGTATGTGTGTATGCATGGCAAGGGAGTTAATCCCCAATATAGGGCAAATTTCCATAGCAATCTCTGTCAAGTTATTTTTACATCACTACCGGTTTTGAAATCCCAGGAGGATCTATAACTAGCCAATCCTGTGACCTGACTTAAGCACACGTGGGACAGCCCAAGCGCCTTTTTATTTTGACGCATTTCATCCTCCGAGAATACATCCAGGCAATGCGCTTGGTAACATTGTGCGCTGAAGAACAGGTATCTCCGAGTAACCTTGTGCATCTGTTTCAAAACAAGTCCTCGTGCCAAACCTTTCATATGAAAATGAGTTTGATTTGCACGAAAATGAACCTGTAGGCGGAACACATTTTCGCATTAACAAGGCAACGAGGCAACTCGGAATAGACCTACTGGGTACCATGTCTAAAAATAACTTGAGAAGGATTATTTTGAGAATTACGTGTATATGAGAGATCAACTAACATACCCTTCATCCTCTCTTGATCTCAGTAACGTCATAAATGTTGTGTGACAGTGACTTGTGTAAACGTGAAAGACAACGTATTTAACAGCTAATTGAGACGTTTTGCGTGTAATTGTCTCAGATATTTTTTAAGTGTATTACAACTCCGATCAAAAGATTTGCTAGGTAACTAATAAAACACTGGCCAAACAAAAGTTATGTGTAATGCTAAATGTGGAAATTCTGTCTAAATATGATCCAATGCGCAAGACAAAAAAACATTACGTAGACATAAAACATCATGAGGTAGAAATTAAGAAGCGTGAGTCGATCGAAGGAAGTTTAACAGTTACTTGTGCCAATGTCTACATTAAATTAAAGTGATTAGCAGTATAGCTAGTCCCTCAGAAGGCATCGGCGTATCTACTTTAACTTCTAAAGGCTTTTTTCTCTTTCTCACCTCATGCCTTTTGACGGAAGGAATGGAGTGCCGAGAATTAGGTGTTACGGGCAAATTGCCCTTTAAATTAGCCTGCCATAACCAACCGTTTTTATTTAACCGGTCAGGTTTGCAGGCTACGTAAATAAACAAAATCCAATGTCTGAACTGACGAATTACTAATTGGTAGACATTCAGCCGTATAAGTTACCGGCGCGCAATCAATATATTAGTACCGGGTTAGCATAAGGAACATGGCGATACCGTAATCACAGAAAAACATTTAAGTCTATGAGATGTGTCCTCAAAGCGATGAAGGTTTTTCTTCACCAACAATCTGAGGAAACCAGGCTAATATTTGTTCAGTTATCAGTAGGTCAGGAGTTCTGCAGATTCGTCAACTTTGCAAATCTTGGTTTCCTCAAATGGTTGATTGTAAGAAAAAAAGTCTTCACTGTATTTCCTTTGCAATTTAGTGAGTTATGAAGGTCTTGGAATGTACACTGAGCATATCCCGGATGAGTGCATCACAGCCTCGTCTTGGTTCAGCTCCAAACATTTGCCTTATTACGGGAGACTGGATACGAACATCGGGCATGGGGCTTGGTGCGCTGCAGCGAATGACGTAAATCCGTACTTGGAAATTGATCTTGAAATGGAGCACTCGATCAGCGGTATCATCACACAGGGTAAATACCGCTTATCTTCGGACCAGCTTGGAGACGCTTGGGTAACAGTGTTCTCTCTGTCTTACGCTATAACCAGAGAACAGTGGGCTCATGTCACAGATGTCAAAACTAAACAACCTATTGTGAGTATAAGTAACCTATTGTGGGTGCAAATATTATTTTTGCAACAACTGCATCTTTGGTTGTAACTATATCAAGAACTCACAAGCATAGTCGAGCATTCCAGGGTGCAAGCATCTATATCGGGGTTAGGATTCAAAGTATGGCCGGGTCATGTGAACTAACATTATAGTATCTGAGTGCCTCTCTCCCCACAAGTGTATAAATGAGAAGTAAAGAATTGTTGGGGCGACCTAATTAGCTTTGGGGTTGCCTGGAATGGACTAGTAATATTCCTACTTTCGAAGAATGCTAGTTGGTTTATGTCACAGGAAAGGCCTGGCGATCAGTTTGGCCCGATTGCTCCGTACTTGCCGGCGCTCAAGTTGGAGCGGTGCGACTCCCAAGGCTCCTTCCTTTTCCTCGCGTGTCTCCAGTCGCGCGCGTCTCCTCGCTCTTGCGTATTACTCCAGCGAGCACCTGCCACGCATGTTAAAGTGTCTTTTTCTTAGTCAACTCAACATCCAAGCCAACATTCGGAACTTTTTAATTCAGTCTCTCACTTTTAGTTTTTGAAAATTAAGGCTCCACGTTTTGTGATTTAGGGGCCCCTTTTTTGCATTTCGCATTATGACTTGTCTAATTTAGAGCGCTGCGAATCCTCTTCACCCCTAGAATCTAACTGAATGCAAAATAATTTTACTTTGCTGTGTGTAGCTTTTCATCTCCTAGGCTAACGCTGAGAAGGAACATTTTGAGCTGCAAAGTTGATTATCACATTTCAAGATCTTCCAATTGCATGTCTTTACTGTTAACATAACATTGTTTGATATATCATTTTAGGAATTTCTCGGAAACGATGCTACAACCTTGAAAAAGAAAATCACGCTGTCTGGTTTCACTGCCCGCCTCGTGCGCTTTTACCCTAAGGAGTGGAAAAACTTGCCTTGTCTCCGAGCCGAGATAATTGGATCTAAAGGTATGAACTTTCACTTAAACCCTAGAAATTTGTTTGTGAAATACTCACACCAATAAAACCAAAAGCTAGAAAGATAGTTAAAATGAGAAATGATTAGAATCTTAAAAGATTCGTGAGTATGCGTTCCTGAAAAAATAGATGCCTGACTGACTAAGCGCGCCCGTGTGTTGTAGACGATCTTTTTTCAACGTGAGCTATTCGTCACAGTTGTAGCACAGAACACCATTTCTCTATAGTTTAGATAAACCTTGGAGTATTTGACAGGTGAGGTAAAGGGAAAGACTTAAATTAAACCTGACAGTAACTCAAATTACTGACGAACTTGTAGCCTTTTATTACAATTAGAATTACGATATATTTGCACAAAAACCAAGACTGTGATACAGTACGTGCCATTTCCTAAACATTTCCAGAAAACAGTATATTTACATAAGAACTAAGACAAAAAACGACCACACATTCTTTAAGAATTACAAATAGATAAGATCTTCCCTTTGTTTGGCTAGGATTGTCTTTGTGTTAGCTCTTCCTTAGGCTTTTTCATTCTTCGAATTCCTTACACTGCTTAACTTTTGTGACAGCGAAGGTTCCATTAAAAGGAAGATTCTATGTTTTGCTTTTTTGGCAAAGTATGCTTTCCAATGTACATAAGAATTTTTTCAGTATACATATTTCACCTTTCCTAGTTCGTATATTGAAAACTCCCATTTGCGTTCAAGAAAACTGTGAAACGTAATGATGATCACAGTGGGTAACTGGGATACACGTATGTCCGTTCATGGTTGCTACTTTTTTTTTTTCTTTTTTTACATATTCAGTTTGTGCCAGTGCTAATTTGCAAAAAGTCAGCAACTCTGCTATGATGCACTCGACTAGTTACAGCTACACTCAAGGTTATAGAGCTAGGCTGAATTCCTATGGCTGGAATCCTACCCACATTGATCCACTTGCCGTTCTGAAGGTTGATTTTGGGCCTGCCAAAACTAAAATTACTGCCATAGCCGTGCAGTCAGGATTGGGGTACTTTGTGTCTGCCTATGAAATTTCTTATAGCGTGGATGGCTGTTCATGGAGACACTGGATCGAGCACGCCCGTGAAAAGGTAATAAAGAAGACAATTTTCTTGTCCCCGGGTGAGGGGAGGGGGAGGGGTGAGCGGGGGGGAGGGGGGTGAGCGTAGCACGATGAGCGAATGCCCTTTCGTTTCTCATGCTTAAGCCCCACCGGCCGCCGACTAACAAACCCCGCAAATATCACTAGCAGCGAGTGGGAAAAGTGGAGCACCTTTCAATTGGCCAATTGCGATGTATTAAAAATCAAACACAGCGCCAAGGTTAAGTGGACTAAAACTGAAATTATTTTCTCATGCCTTAACCGACCTTGATGTGATTTCTTTTCTTTTGTAGTGAATTTTTTAACTTCTGATAAAATTAAAGACAAGGCTTTGTTTCTTTCCTTGCAAAGTCTGGAGACTTTTCTAGCCCTTTGTTGGATAGTTCTTCTCGTTGCCTTGTTAGGTTTTCTCTGGATTCACCAGCTTCAACAGCATCACCAGATTTAAGCTGCAATATCCCGTGGATGTCCGGTACTTGATATTTCGGCCACGGGCCTTTTACAGGGCAAGGTACACTCGAGTTGAAGTCTACGGATGCGAAGGTTTGTTAATGGCCCGAGTAACATATCTATTGAAGCATAATTATGTGTTTTGAAGTACTAATGTGTAATTCATTTCTGATCGAACATTTTGGAACAGTTCACATTTTTGCTGTCCAGTAGTCCTTGTCTTTACTTCACCCTGCCTATCCCCAATGCAATGGTGACATTTTTCTATCCAAACTAGAAACAATGTGTCATTATTATTGGCGAAGGGAATCCAAAACTGGAATAATGCATTAACAATGCATAACACTTTTTGTAGTTGGTGTTTTGTTTATTGACCCAAAGATTTTTGCCTGATTGTCGGCATGACATTATTTTTGTATTCCCGAGCTTTTGTAAGTTAACGCTTAGAAGCCTTGACGAACGCTGCGCATACGGGAAAAAAATCAACGTAGATTACTAAATACTTATTACGCTCTGAAATAAATAGGATTATCTTGTAGGCCATTGAAACTTTGGTTTGCTCCCGCTAAAAAGGAAACGAACCTGGTTTCCTATTTTACGAAGAGCGGTCGAAACGTCGTTCGTTCTTACCTGCTGTTTTTACCGTGAATACTTCATCAACTAAAATTTCGAAAATTTATTTTAGCCACGCTGGTATCAAAAATTTCATTGTTCTAATTTTTGTCTAAGATATCAGCTTTAAATTATCTTTTCCTCTACTGTCAGTTATCACAGATTTGTTTCCGGTGGGGATTGAGCGCTCGGACGAAATTTCTAGTTCATCTATGACCGCGTCCAGCTGGAAACCTGGTTACTACCCTCACGCTGCAAGACTTCACGCGAATGTTTCTTGGTGCGCGGCTACAAACAAACAAGACGAATACTTAGAGGTGGATCTGGGAAAAGAGTTTACCTTGGCAAAAATAGCCCTCCAGGGTGACTCTGACGAGGGCTCAGGTGTGACTAGCTTCGCCATTGCTTTCACTAGAAATGGAGGGCAATGGACAGACTACAAGATAGACGGAGCTAGAAAGGTAAGGGTGTATTTATGTACTTCTTTGTACGGTACTGTCCAAATGTAAGTTGACTGTCTCGAGTCGAGACTCGGTTTTCGATCCTTGATGCCTTTGAGAATCCAGGATCGATTTTCTTCTTTTGCGAGGCTCGAGTTTTGAGGAAAGGATTTTGTGGTTAGAAACTGCTAGCGTTGGTATGCTGCTCTTTGTCACTCCCAGCAATGACGTTACTTAGTGGACAAGTTTGGTATTTTCTTGTTGCATGGGTGGGTCATTATTTTACGACAGTAGGGGTTGCTAATACTTTAGGTCTCATACTCAGAGATAGAGTTCCTCCACCCAGTTTTGAAGAAATTTGGGAAATATACTTACATCACTTGCTTACTCCTCTTAAGGGGTTTCATGGCTCTACTGGTAACACAGTGGTTTACAGAGCTTTTGAGTGGAAATTCCTTGCGAAGAAGATCAGAATCTATGTACTTGGCTGGTATATCTGGCCATGTATGAGGATAGAACTATATCACACAGGTAAGGTAGTGTGGCAGCACCCCAGGTCAGATAAGACAGTGCGGCAGGCTGCGTCAAGATCAAAAGATGATCTAGTGAACAATTGAACTGTGAGCGTTACTTCTCTGTGAACTAACAGAACATATTCGTACTCTCGGTATTGGACTGGAACTAGCTTGCAATGGAGGCTCATGCGGGGGAATATCATTAAAAAGAGATCAATGTCATTTGCATTTGAAAACACTCCCCGCATTAGCCTCGGTTTCAAGCTAGTTCCAGTCAAATACCGGGAATACGAATATGGTCTATTGATGGAAACTAGGAAAGGAGAGCTGACAAATGCCAAACATCTGACATTTCTTGGCCGATGAAAAAACGTTTTCTCTTTTAAGGACCTTGCGCTCACGATCGTGGTGTGTCGGTGACTAGCCAATTACCAGAGAACCATTTAAAGTGCTTTTTTACCCATTTGCACGTTGCAAGGAAGAGAATTCTGAACCAGATATATTGCCTCAGAAACTGCGCCATTTTGAATATCAGTCTCAATCATTAAGGATTTTTGTAGAATTCCCTTGATCGTATCTTTCATATCATCTATTGAACAATAAAGATATTTCTCCTCTATTATTCTCATTTTTCTTGAAGGTTGTGTAAACAGTCTTGACTTCAGTCTAAAAGAAGCTAAGAGGGGAGGTTACACAGCATCTAGTTTTATGGGACCCGGTTTTGATCCCTGGCGTGCTAGCATCATCAGTTCAAGCAAACAGCACGGTTGGTGCGCAGATGATAGCAAAACTCAGTATTTACAAATTGATTTGGGAACTCTTCATCATGTCACTGGAGTTGCAACTTGGGGAATTACCGCGGGTATTGTGGAAGAGGATGCCTGGGTAGAGAAATACAGAATTCAGTACAGTGTTCTTGGAGACGCCTGGACTGATCACACGGAACAGGACGTCAACAAGGTATCACGAATATGTTTTTTCCAGTTTTATCGCTTGCATTACCCAGTTGAAACGTGTCATAAGACGTATTGCTGCATTTGTTTAAATTAGTGGCAAACTGAATATGACAAGAATTTATATCACCTAACAGAATGTTTGTCAGTACATCTCTTTTCAAGATAATAACAACTATTTTCAAGGATTCCCATAGAATAATACTAACTACTTAATAACCGAGAGTGAGGTCGTTACGGGAAAATCTCAAACTGAGGCCTTGCCGTATTGACCNCTCTCCACCACCCAAGTGGAAACCATTAGTGGCTGATAAGCATGTGATTGCTAAGTTACCATTGGTCCCTTTTGTAATTATCAATTTGACGCGTTTGACAGCTGGCATCTGCATGAAAGTGAGATTCAAGTCCAAGATAACCAGAGGTTTTTCTTTCTCGCCGCTTAGCGACTTGTGTTCGCCGCTTCGCAAAAAGAAGAAAACTCAAGAAAAACCTCTGGGACCAGGGTAGCTATCTTGTAACGTGTAAACGTGGAGTTTGGTATAAAAAGGTAGATGGAAGGTCACAATTTATCATTACTTTGAATTTATGAGTATTCAAACAACATCCCAATATTTATTATTAATTATTATTAACTACTTAATAACCGAGAGTGAGGTCGTTACGGGAAAATCTCAAACTGAGGCCTTGCCGTATTGACCTCGCTATCGCTCGGTCAATACGGTAGGCCGAGGTTTGAGATTTTCCCATAACAACCAAACGGTTGAGGTTATTAAGTTGTTTATTATATGGCTCATGAATAAAGAAAAAAAATCATTCGAGCGGAAGTCATCAATTTACATCCGGCGATGCGCGCA